TCTCTCTCTCTCTCTCTCTCTCTCTCTCTCTCTCTCTCAAATAAATAAAAAAAAATAGGAAGCTACAAAACTGAAATCTTAGAAAATCAGAAGGAGGCTCTGCCGACTTGATTTCCTAACCGGTTACCAGCTTGAGCTCCCAGGTATTTCTGAACATGGTTGCTATCTATTCATTCTTGGTACTTTGAAATTTAGTATAAGATCAAAAATGCAATTTTAGTTTTATGCAGGTAATGACTATTTTAAACATAGATGATTTACAAAAGAGGGCTTTTCATAGTATAAATCTGATCTGGTAGAAATAATGGCTTCTGTTTAAAAAAAAAAGAAACAAATCACAAAAAAACATATCACTTTATTACATTAAACACTCAATGTTTTGCAATAAAATAACCAACTTTATGTGAAGCTCAAGAGAACGTAAATGTCAAATATGAAAGGTTAATGTCACTCATTATGAAGAGACTTCACTACTTCATAAATCACCAAAATATTAGGAGAAAATAAAGGCATTAGATGCAAAGGGAACTCATGTAAAGTATATATAAGCCTTGTATAAACAACAAATGCTCAATCACACTATCTAGGAAAAAAACACAATAAAATGAGGTCCTAATTTTTTGTTGTACAATAAAGACACTGGTGTGGTTGTACATGTAATGAAAAGGATGTTTTACTGTTCTGTAATTAATAGAACTCTATGAGGAAAAAGAAATTGACAGTCTACCTGCAATAATTCAAATAGCCTGTACTGGCATTTATTTGTCGTTGGAAGCTGGTACATAGTGATACACTACCTCCTTCACAAATATGTGTCAAACTCTCATCATAAGTCATGTATAGCAGTCTAGAGCATACGTCACCGTACACATTAACAAGGTCCCTAAGTTTATGAAGCTTATGACAGTGCAGGAGTGAGACACTACATTAGATTTTACATTAGATTTTACATTTTACATTAGATTTTAAATACCAGCTCCATTTTGATGACGTGATCATAAGATAAAAGCTAGAAATGACCACAAATTATTTAAGTCCAATTATGTACTTTTGTGATATTAATTATAGTATCAAAACCTGGGTAAAAATAGTTGCATATAGAAATATATGATGATTGTATTTAAAATGTGCTGTGCTAATTTTTAAATTTTATGGGCAATGAGTATATTACATTAAATGAAAACTATAGGACAGGAAATACACATAATATGATAGCAATTCCTTGATAACAAAAAGATAAATAACCGGGTATATATAAAATGTTTATGTTCAAATATATAATTCTGGCAACAGTTAAGCTTGAGATCCAAGGTATTATTGTGCATACATTTTTAGTTATCTATAAGTATCTACATATAGGTTAATTAAAATGTACATGGTACATGCATTTTAATTATGTATACTTGTAATTTAAATTTTATGTAGACAAACAGGCCGGGGAGATGGCTCAGTGCATTAAGTGCTTCTCTCCCAAGAGCAAGGGCCTGAGTTCAATCCCTGGTTCCAAAAAAAAAGCCTGGAAGAAAACAGGCTGAAGTACTTGCAGTTGTAGTAGTGGAATTTTTTTTTTAATTTTATTTCACATTTTGATTCTTTAGAATGTTCTCTACAGATAATAATAAATGAAGTTATATATGCTATGCTACCTGGGGGGGAAAGCTTAAAATAAATTTTAAGCAAGGTTCACTAGAAAGAAAGAGGGAAGAATTATAGGAAAAGAACCAAACCCAAAATATAAATATTTTGATAAATTGTATGCTTCCATGTGTGCACACGCACACACACGCGCATGCGCTTGCATACACACACATGCACACACACTGAACAGTTGTATTAGACCTAAACATGCCTATTTTTTTTTTCAGACTCCTTTTTCTCCCAAAGGAAACTTGTAGAGTAACCTTTAAAATCAACTGTGGCTTATTATAGCTCTGTGACATTACCTTTCTAAACAAGTAGCTGGTATATAACCTCACAAAAAATGCTCAACACCTTTTCACCAGAAAGTATTTTACTCTCCGAGTTTTATTGACTCCTAGGAGTTCCTGACAGTCACAAAAATGCACACTCAGACAGCGCCAGCCCCTCGCTAATGTAGCAGCCTGCCTTCCTGCAGCCTGTGCAGCCTGGTCTTCTCCCAGAAGAATTGACTGTAATAAAACAAGGAACCCTTGTGCAAACTTAGCTTCCCTTTTCTTCTCCACTCCAGCTCTCTCTCTCTCTCTCTCTCTCTCTCTCTCTCTCTCTCTCTCTCTCTCTCTCTCCCGGTCCACAGTGACCACGCTCA